GGCTCTGAGCTGTCAGCACAGAGCCCGACGTGGGGCTTGAACTCATGGACCGTGAGATCATGACCTGAGCTGAAGTCGGATGCCACCCGGGCATCCCACAGTCATCTTTTTTTTTTAATGTTTTATGTATTTTTGAGAGAGAGAGAGAGAGAGAGAGAGAGCAGGTGATGGGGCAGAAAGAGAGACAGAGGATCCAAAGCAGGCTCTGCACTGACCGCAGATGCGGGGCTCGAACTCACAAACTATGAGATCATGACCTGAGCCCAAGTCTGACACTTAGCCAGCTGAGCCATCCAGGCACCCCTCAGTTGACTTTCTTTTTTTTTTTTTTTTTTTATTTTTTTTTTAACGTTTATTTATTTTTGTGACAGAGAGAGACAGAGCATGAACGGGGGAGAGGCAGAGAGAGAGGGAGACACAGAATCGGAAACAGGCTCCAGGCTCTGAGCCATCAGCCCAGAGCCCGACGCGGGGCTTGAACTCATGGACCGCGAGATCGTGACCTGGCTGAAGTCGGACGCTTAACCGACTGCGCCACCCAGGCACCCCTCAGTTGACTTTCTTAATTTGGCTATCATATTTTAAATTTCCAAAGCCCTTTTTGTCAGTTCATTGGGAGTTTTTGGTGGCCTTTGTATAGTTTCTTCTTCTTGTTTCATAGATACACTATTTTACCTTTCTGAGGATTTGATTATATTTGATAAAGTAGTTTCTCTCTTACTGCCCCTGGTTCTCTCACCACCACCTACCCACTCCCTGACTTGTTATTTTGAACCCCTGCTTTCATTTTGGAGCCTTTCCTCAGTTACCTTATCATCTTTCACCACCCATTCATATTTCAGAGTAAAGCACCCAAAGTTGATAGAAGGCTCCTGTACATCAACAGGGCTTGTCAAGAATGCAGTGAGCTGCCTCCTTGGGTTTTAGGTGTTAGGATGTCAAGACAGCTTTTTTTTTCAGGAGTCTTCTAAATGTCAATATCCAGAACTGTGTCTTCTGGTACCATTCAGCTCCCTGAGCCCCGTGTTTAGTGATGTATATGATGGCAATCTGGAAGCAACAAAGGCCAGAGAGGGATTCCAAATTGTAGATTAGGATCTCTCCCATCCTTATTTTGTACAGGCCACTGCCAGATGATGGAATGATTAAAGTGTGTTATGGGGATATGGAAATGGCCCAGGTTTAGAAGAATATTGGAAATTACCTTTGACTACTTTTTGTGCGTGCCCACTATGCGCTTTGATTGTCCTGAAATAATTCTCAGACTCTTAATCTGTTGGCAATCAGGATACACCTGAGGTCTCCAACTTTCTGATACTTTTTCATCGATGAGTAAAGTACTTTACCCGAGAAAAAAATCAACTGTCAGAATTTTTTCATGCAGACCAAAATGTGAGAGAATGTATAAGAATTCATCCATGTGTAAGATCAGACTTAAAAGGCAAGGTTTCCTAGGTGAAAATTTATACGATGTGTGTTCTCTTTGAATGTTACTTTCCATCAACATTACCGACTTAAGAGTTCCTGCTGCTTAACCTTTAGTAAGAAACAATCAGTGACTCTTGTTAAAGGGAAGACAAAAAGGAAAGACAGGAATGTTTGTTTTTGTTTTTAAATGATGGCATCTTTAATTACAGTACAAAAATTGAGAAGGAGAAGAGAGAGCACGCAAAGCAGCATGGAATGATCCGCACGGAGATCACGGGAGCCGAGATCGCAGAAGAAATGGAGAAGGAGAGACGCCTCTTCCAGCTCCAAATGTGCGAAGTAAGAACAGCTTTTGCAAGCATTTGCCTGGCGTTTGGTTAACTGTGATCTTTCCTGCTACTCAGCAGTTTTTCTGCTTAAATGCAGGCTGTTTGGTTATTAGAGGAGGGGACTGTTTCTTAAGGGTTCTCATCTCCATTTTTCTCCAAGCCTTTTGGGATCCGCCATTTCACTGTTGGCTCATATTTTGAGCCTTGGTCCTGTGGGGCTGTTTATGCCAAAACAGGATTCTTTGGTGAGAACTTTACTGTTGCTTGTGAGTGAGTGTGGAAAAAAACATCTGGTGAGGAGTAACACTGGTGAACATGAAGTCTTACTGATCCAGGTTAAGAGCATGCGTCTTTTTTAACCATGTGTCCAGTTGGAATGAAAGCTGAAATAAAGTAGTCATGAAGAAAGTCTGAGTTCATGAAAGAAATGTAATGAAAGCATGTTCCCTTAAACTTTGAGCAGTGGTTCTCAAACTGGGTTCCCAGCGAGCGCTGGTCCAACTTGACCTGGCGTCCTGCCATTCTAACACTAACGTGTAACAGTTCCTTTATCAGTTTTCCAAAAATACTAAAACGGATAGAATTTTCTCAATTTTAAGTGTTTCTTTTTTTAAAAAAATACTTTTTTTCCTCCTCTTCAACCTTTTAGCTTCTTCTTGAACCTGTCTGCTCGTAAGCACTTCTTTATAATAAAACAAGTAAAAAAAAGCAAACAATATCAACAGAAAGTCTTGGATACTGGTAAAAATCAGAGCTAGTAGTGTTCATTAACTGCTTGATTAATAACAGGTTATTGTAACGTTAATTTTTCTTATTCTTTCATTCTTGAGTACCAGAAACTCTTCCTAAAAGTTTCAGTACCTCACCGCATATTCCGTAAAGAGAGTGCAATTTTACTGATTTTCTGCCAAGAACGACCTGTCTTTCAGGTTTTGATCATGTGAACTCTAAGTTTGAGATCCACTGCACCAGGGGGATATAATCAAACATTCTAGAATGTTTTGCTGTGTTTGATTTCTGCTTGTATAGTAAACTAATCTGGAGTGTTTGTAAACCATTAACACTCTAATCAGGTCGTTTGTACACTCGTGACTGTGCCTGATCATCATTCCCCAAATGAAACTCCCCCTGTCTGAAGGCAGCCAAGGTTCAGTAACTTGTGCAGATTCATGATCGGTATTCTGCTCCCCAGACCCAGGACTGGGAAACCCTGTCTGTAACAGTCAACATACAATTCTGTTTTATTTCCACAGTATCTCATTAAAGTTAATGAAATCAAGACCAAAAAGGGTGTGGACCTGCTGCAGAATCTTATAAAGTATTACCACGCTCAGTGCAAGTAAGTGCAACACGGCAGTCGTGATTGTTAGCCCCAGGAAGGACCCCCTTTACTTCTTTGCCTTTCTTATGTTCCTTTCTTTCTGCTTTTCATTTGGTCGCTGTATGTACCCATATAACCTTCCACAGCCACATGGTAGGATCTCGTATGATCTTTCCATCTTCGTTGTTTTCTGTAAATCAGTAACTCCTATCAGTGCAACTGTTTGGTTACTCAAAAATGCTGTCTTACTTACAAATCCTAACATTGGCCCTGCTCTGGCCACAGATCCATACATCCCTGTCACTGCAGAGGCCTTCTCGGTGACCCCCTCCCGCTCCTCCCGTACTTGGCGTCTTACCTATTACTGGCTCATTTGTACCACATATACCTACTTGGATTTTTTTTCATCATCTGAATTAGAGGAAATTAAATACCTTGGACATTAAGAATACTTTGCCTCTATGGGGCACCCGGGTGGCTCGGTCAGTTAAGCATCCAACTTCGGCCCAGGTCATGATCTCACGGTCCATGAGTTTGAGCCCCGCATCAGGCTCTGTGCTGACAGCTCAGAGCCTGGAGGCTGCTTCCGATTCTGTGTCTCCCTCTCTCTCTGCCCCTCCCCCACTGATGCGTGCATGCGCGTGCTCTCTCTCGCTCTCTCTCAAATATAAATAAACATTTTTTTTAAAAAGCTTTTTTAAAAAAGAATATTTAGCCTCCTTGAATTCCTGTGTAATTAGAGGTATGCTTTGAGAACGATCCATTGTTCTACACCAGTACCATTTTTGTTTATGAACATTGCATTTGTATTCTCTTTGAGATTCTCTGGCATTTCATTTGCTTATTTACTTCTTGTTGACTTACTGGATTAGCTTTCATGGTTTTCTCATAGAGTTTTATGTGAAAACATGCCCATTTTTTAATTTTTTTTTAATATTTATTTATTCTTGCGAGAGAGGGAGACAGAGCATGAGCAGGGGAGGGGCAGAGAGAAAGGGAGACACAGAATCGGAAGCAGGCTCCAGGCTCCAAGATGTCAACACAGAGCCTGATGCGGGGCCCGAACTCACAAACTGTGTGATTATGATTGGCAGCAAAGTCAGACGCTTAACCTACTGAGCCACCCAGGTGCCCCCCACTTGTTAATGTTCTAAGAACATCTTTGCCTTCAACTGAGACATGTGGGGAAGTCAGCGTTAATACTGTGGGACACACACAAGGCATGAGTCAGACAGAAAGATGAGTTCAGACCCTGGCTCTGCAGCCTGGTGACCATGTGATCTTCATCGGGTGCTTCTCTACACCTCAGTATCCTCATCTGTCAGGTGGGACTGAGGTTCGTAGATGTGAGAATTAAATGAGAATAGTGCATGCGGGGTGCCTAGCCTGGTGCCGGCCACAGTGTATGTGCTTGGCTGCTCTTAGGAGCCCGAGGGCTCCTGAAACCATGTCTGTGTGCACGTATTGTACAGAATTGTTTCTCTTCAGGAAAAATTTTAATGATCAAATAGTTATTTACATAAATTTCCCTTGCTAACTTTTTCCTGCCCTTCAAAGCAAACTCTACCTTGTATAATGAATGGGTTTCACATTTAAAAATAATCCATCGACGTGGAAACAATTTCATATTTATAAGATAAAGTTTGCTTGTGGAAGCCTCACACAAAAGAACTGATCTAACCTTTGGCTTTGTAGCTCAGTGGGGCACATAGGAAACTTTGAAATGCGTTGTAGTGGCCCCTTATTTGAGTCTAGGGTCGAATTTTCACCTTTCAACAACTTGTTTTCCTAGAAACATACCATTGCTTTGCAACCTTAAGAAATAAGTGAGCTTCTCAGTTACAGTACTTGGGCAGCAAATCTGGGCATCTGATTTTAGAAATCTCTCTCTTTCCCTTTTTTTTTTTTTTTAGTAAGCTCTACACCCAGCGTGGGGTTCGAACTCATGACCCTGAGATCCAGAGTCACATGCTCTACCAACTGAGCCAGCCAGGTGCCCCAGAAGTCTCTTTTGATCTCACATTCTCTTAGTCTATGCAGAAGGGTTTAACCTCCACTAACATGAGTTTTCCAAACTGTAAGATGTTTTGCAAACTACTTTTACAAGTAGTCGGTAAAGGTAGAAAGAGGAGCACTTCTGACCTATAGAGCTAACACATCCTCCCTTTATTTGGCCATTCCCGGCTGTTTCCCTTTCCAGAGGTATTTATTAATCTCCTGAAAAAAGCCAGGAGCTTTGTAGGTTCTGGGGTACAAAGACGAAACAAGACTGTACCCTTAGGAGTTAATTGTCTGATACAGGAAGTAAGTTGGGACATCGTCATCACAGTGGGCCCAGGAAGGAACAGATGACATGGGCATTAGGAAAAGGGGAGACTTTCATCCAGGGGCACTGAGGAGAGCTCCTTGAAGGGGTGGTCGCGGTCGGGATTAGACTTGGGGGAATGGCTAGCATCCGGCCGTTGAAATCTGGGAGAAGAGTTCCCCCCCCCCCCCCCCCACCGGGGGCAGAGAGAGATCAGCAGGAGGAAACCCTACACAGTGAAACCTTTGTCGGGAGAGGTATCCAAAAACATCAAGGAGTAAAGTGAGTTAGAATGGGATTCAGCCCTAGCTGCCTCATGGTTGAACCTTAAGAATTCCCACACACTGAAAAGCCAGGGTAGTATTCTTTATTTAAAAAAAAAAAGGGGCGCCTGGGTGGCGCAGTCGGTTGAGCGTCCGACTTCAGCCAGGTCACGATCTCGCGGTCCGTGAGTTCGAGCCCCGCGTCAGGCTCTGGGCTGATGGCTCAGAGCCTGGAGCCTGTTTCCGATTCTGTGTTTCCCTCTCTCTCTGCCCCTCCCCCGTTCATGCTCTGTCTCTCTCTGTCCGAAAAATAAATAAATGTTGAAAAAAAAAATTTTTTTAAAAAAAAAATTTTTTTTTAATGTTTATTTTAAAGACAGACAGAGCGTGGGGGAGGGACAGAGAGAAAGAGAGACACAGAATCCGAAGCAGGCTCCAGGCTCTGAGCGGTCTTCACAGAGCCCGGTGCGGGGCTTGAACCCACGGACCAGAGATCATGACCTGAGCTGAAGTCGGAATCAGTTGGAATCAACCGGCTGAGCCACCGAGGTGCCCCAAGGGTAGTGTTCTTAGAAGAGACTCTTACTCTTTCTTCCTTCAGGCAATCCCTCAAAAACCCTTAATAGACATATAATAGACTTGTAAAGCATCTCTACTTAACTCAGAGACCATGATTTCATATTCAAAGTACCTATTCCAATTCCCCAAATGATGTTCAGTACAAAGTCAGGTGGTGCCCCAAAGCGAATTTGCTTTTGCAGCACCTTGGATAGTTCAGCACCCCAGTGGGAATATGCAGCTGCTGTAATGGAAAAACAAAGGGAGCAGAAAAGAAGAGCTTATGACTCTTTGCTAGTCATTTCAGCTCACCTGCACCATTCGCTCCTCACTTTCAGACACGAACATTGTGGGGAACATCCTAGTTTCGGGACAAATGCATTATCCTGCTGCTCACTCCTTTTCCCTAGCAAGGATACCTAGCAAGTATCGTTATGATCTGTCTGTAGGATCACAAGCACTTACAAACATTCTTCTATTACCCTTAATTTAAAAATCATAACAGCTAACCTTCGTCGAAAGCAGTAGGGAAAGTGTCGCTCAGGAAGGATGAGTAACTTGCACAGAGGCACGTTCACTCACTCAGTAGATGCTCAGTAAACGTGTGTCAAAGTGCGCAATAGAAAAGAAACCAAAGCAAAAACATAAGTAAATTGGACTTCAAAAGTGAAAGGTTTAGTGAGGGAATGGACACTATTAAGAAAACAAAAAGACAACCCACGGAATGGGAAGAAAATAGTTGCAAGTCATTTCTCCGATAAGGGTTGAGTATCCATAATATATAAAGAACTCTTACAGCTCAACAACAAAAATATAACCCAGTTTAAAAATGGGCACAGAATTTGAATAGCCATTTCTCCAGAAAAGAGACACAGTGGCCAAAAGCACAAGAAAAAAGTCTCAACATCATCAGTCACTGGGGAAAATGCACATTAAAACCACAATGAGATACCACTTTGTATGCACTAGGGTGGCAGTATTTAAAAAACAATAGCAACAACAAAGTGGAAAATAGGTCTTGGTGAGACTGTGGAGAAGTTGGAGCCTTCAGGACACCGCGGAGAGATTTCCATCTCTCCAAACTGGTGCAGCTGCTTCAGAAAACAGCTCGACAGCACCTGAGAACAGAAAGCTGAGGATTGTTTGGTGTCGCCGTCCCACTCCTAGGCATGTACCCAGGAGAATTAAAAACAAATATTTAAGCAAAAATGGGTTCATACATGTTTATGGCATCATTATTCACAATAGCCAAAACGTGGAAACACCCAAATATCCATCAACTGATGAACCGACAAACAAAATACTGTGTAGCAGTGCAATGGAGTATTATTCGGCCATAAAAGAGAATGAAGTATTCAGACCACGTAGGGGGAGACGTCACCAAAGAAACACGACTGCTGACTGACCAGCAAGATGGACCTGGGCACTCAGAGGCTCCTCACCCTCCCCAGTCCGTGGACTGTGGCCTCCCCACATGCCTTTACCACTCCCAAAGGCTGCCCCAAGGACATAGCCTTGAGATGGTGATGTGCTGTTGCAAATACCTGCATGGTGTATACATGACTGAGCACAGGTAGGGCCTCTTTGTAAACTTCCGAGATTTGGAGGCAGGTACAGGGATCCAGGCACTGCCTCCCAAGACAATACGCGATGATAAACTCCCTTCACTGTCATTAAAACTGCCACCTACCAACCTGTAGTGGCCTGATGCTTTCTCGGGTCTCTCCCTGCCCTCTGATGACAGGGGCCACTTTCAGACCATACCCAGGAAGCTCCCAGGAGGGTTACAAATCCACATACATGGTACAACATGGATGAACATCTCCAGCATTATTCTAAGGGAAAGAAGCCAGGCATGGAAGGCCATACATCATATGATTCCATTTAAATGAAATGTCCAAAAAGACAAGTCCACTGAGACAGAAAGCAGGTTATTGTTTGCTGGGGAAGGGAAGAATTGAGAATCACTGCTAACAGGAGCAGGTTTCCTTTTTGGGGTGATAGACATGTTCTGGACTTGGGTAGGGTGACAGTTGCACCACATTGTGAATATACTCAAAACTACTGAATTGTACACTTTGAAATGGTAAATTTCATGTTACATGAATTTAACTCATTTTTTTTAACACAGAAAACAGCAACAAAGCAAAAACAAAGATCCATGACCTCATGGAACTTATAATCAGGTGACAGAACCAAGTCTTGAACCCAGGTCTCTGTAACTCCAGAGTGCATGCTCTCAGTTGTCAGAAATCCGAATCTGGTAAGCCTGGACTCGGGCCTAGACATCTCTGTTCCAAAGAATCTTTTTATGAGATACCAACATATCACTCTTGGCTCACTCTTTGAACTGTCAAGATGTATTTGTAGTTAATTAGTACTTACACTAATTAAGTTTCTTCAGTACCACAGGACACACAAGGAATGTATCTAGGAGAAAATGTCACCCTGGGTAGCTGGAAATCAGTACCTAAAGCTTGGAAATGAGCTTTCAGAAGGGATTGATGGTTGATGTGTTTAAGAAGTCGCTTATTTTTGTTTTGTTCTATGATTTGATTTGTTTTAAAGAACAATACGCTTTATGATACTACAGGACATCCTGACTTCTTTTGAAAATAATATTACTGTCTCTGAGCATTTCAGCCTTTGGCCAAATGCTTTCTAAGCCGAGCAGAATGTGTGATGGGGGTAGCAGACACTCCTATCTCTATTTCTTTTAAATTAAGTTAGGGGCGCCTGGGTGGCTCAGTCGGTTAAGCGTCCGACTTCAGCTCAGGTCATGATCTCGCGGTCTATGGGTTCGAGCCCCGCGTCAGGCTCTGTGCTGACGGCTCAGAGCCTGGAGCCTGTTTCAGATTCTGCGTCTCCCTCTTTTTCTGACCCTCCCGTGTTCATGCTCTCTTTCTGTCTCAAAAATAAATAAACGTTAAAAAAAAATTTTTTTTTTAGTTAAGTTAAAAGCAGAGAGAACATAGTGTCTCCTTTTCCCATCATTGTTTGGACAAAATAAGCAGAGTAAGAAGTGAAGTTGGTAGCAACTTTCTCAGGCTAGAGAAGTCTCTGCCTCGCTCAGAGGAGGGTGTGTTCTGCCCGGTGGATGGGGGACTGTGTTCAGTGTTCATGAGCTTGCACTCTGCAGCGATGGGTGTGTGACAGCCTGTCAGGATAAATGGGGGGGTCCTTCTGACTGTCCATTGGCATCTTATATTTTTCTAGCACTCTGTGTCATTAAACTGTGGTCCTGTTTCTTTCAAGCTGCTTATTTAAAAAGTGAAGCCAATGCAGCTGTGTCCCTAAGGTCAGAGAAGTGATGAGGCTCATTTTGCTGGCCTGTGGCCATCATGTATTGAACTGTTTCTCTGTGCCTGGTGTTTTAAGAACATTATTGCGGTGCTCACAAGAACTCTCCCAAGGTACATATGATTATCTCCATTTCCTGTATGAGGACACAGAGATGCAGGGATTCAGAGATTATGCTGTTATTCAGTGGATTTAGACCCAGGATTTAGACCCGGATCAGCCTGATTTGTTTAACTACCTGTGCTCCAAAGATAGGAAAATTTACACTCAAATCCCAACTCTCTGCACTTAATGACTAGATGACCCTTGTTAAGCATCTTGACCTCTCTTGGCCTCAGTTATTTTGTCTGTTACAGGTTAATAATAATAATTATCTACTTTGTTGGCCTCTAATGAGACTTGAAAGGGGATACTTAATTGTCCTAATAGTGAGTGACTGACACAGAGTAAATACTCAATTATGTGCCAACTGCCATTATTATTATTACTGTTAATCATCGTCTGTTTTCCAGAGATCTCATTATATTTCAGTAATTTACAGAGAAAGTGGCCAAGGGACTAGTGGGATG